AGAGGGCCCTCAGACACGACCAAAAGATAAAGACATCCCAGACACGACGCATGGGACTGGAATATATGCCAACATGAACCCCTGAAATCACCCCAAATGTAGGTAAATATGGCACACATGTCAGGCTCATGTGAGAGCTTTTGTGCCGGCCAGTGTTGGGTTGCTGGTTCTTCACTCCGCCGGATGGTGTTGGACGCGCCAGTGGTGCTTTCTTTTGGGTGCGTCCATCTGGTCCATGAGTGCCGGTGGGCGTGTTTCACGCCGTTCTCCGTGCACCCGGCGGCCGCTTAAATTCCGGCAGTGGCATGAAGGAGCTGTGCATGGTGCGCGTGCATCGTGATGTCTGAGAGCCCTCAAGTCTTGTGGCGAGTTGAGTCCTGCTTGGTGCTGCAGATCTGGGGTCGCAGGGGTCGGGCCGTCGGAGGCGGCGGAATTCGCAGGACGGAGAAGGTCTTTTCTACTGTCTTTTCTTGCGGCCAGTGCGGTCTGGAGTGCCGCATGTGAGGCCAGGTGCCGGAACCCGGGCGAGATGCAACTTAGAGGTAACCATCCAGCAAGCCAACCTGGACCTTTGTATGAGCGAAAACCTCGCGCGTAACACTTTAAGGAGAGGTCCAAGTAAGATGCCACAGGCGAAAGTCACACCTGAAAGGGCGCCAAAGGGAATCCTAGCAATAGGTCCAATAGGTTTTGGTCGTTTTTCCAAGAGCTGCCGCTATGTTTCAGAGGACGTGTGACACTCTGAGCCGCTCCTTTTGAGCGATGTGAGACTTTCCTTCCCAAAAGCCCTTTCCATCGCCTCGGAGAGTAGAACAGACAAAAGAGTAGAATAGGAGAAGTTGGAAAGCCCGTTGCCAGCACATTGCACACCCAAAGTGCTTCCTGATTTTCCATTCCCGTGGTGATTTTGAGCATGACAAGAATGAACAGTATCCTTAGTGGGTTTTGGCGTTTAGTGTTTGCTGTACCCCAGCCCACATGCTTTTCGCATTTTTTCGCTTGATCTTATTCCTTTTTCGTTCCATCGTCCAACCCTCACCAAATGAGCACCGTCACTGACCCTGAAAGCAGACGGCCCTGCTGGCTTTGCTTTCCGGCCCAGGCAGTGCCGTTATATAAGTCTAAAATGCGTTGTAAGCAGGATGAAGGCGTGCAAGTCCTCATCTCCCACCTGCGCATGCAGGTCGGGGGTCGACGTTGATCACCGTCCTCTTAATTAGAGGTCTTGGCTCTGAAGCGAAAGGGTCGCATACCTTGTGTCTGAAGGAGCTCGTTGTGAGAAGTGAGTTGCGGCGGAGCTTGTGCGTTTGGCATGAAGTGGACGTGGATGAGGCTGCTTGCAGGTTTTATGGAGTTAAGGGCTGTAGTTGCATTGAGACCGGCAAGCTTTCTTGAAGCAACGGGCACAATATCTGAGTTCAGACGGTTGCGGCGAAGCCCACGTGCTTGAGTTGATGAAACGGCCCGCCCCAGACCAATTGTACCCCAAAAGTCACATTTTACAGAAAGTGCCCATGCTTTTCAATACCAACCTGAACAGTAGAGAGGTCTCCCCCTGTCCATGCCGCACGCGCACGCCCCGCGCCACGCACGCGGCACGCGGGGCACGCGGGACGCGGGACGCGGGACGCGCACGTCTCCCACTTCGGAACAGTCCGTGACCGGGGGCGTTCTCCAACGACAGGTGGGGTGCATCGTTTGGCCGGTCGCGGTGGTCCAAACACGTTGAGACGAAGGTCTCTTCGCCTCGTCTGCTCGATGGGAAACAGATGACAGTCTTCCGCACCGTCGGTCCGTCGCTGGGATTCCCGATGGCAAGTGCACTAAGTGAGCTGCCGGTCTTGTGAAAGACGTCCGAGATTGTTTGCAGGTTTGGGCAGGTTTGGTGGCGTCTAATGGCCTACTGACTGCGCCCTAACGAAGGGAGATGTTGCACTGGAAGCTAGGCACTTGCTGGATCTGGCACTCGTGGGACTCACACTTCCTGCTTTTTTTGCGTGATTTGAATTTGGGATCTGGACATGGGGTGGGGGCCCAATGGACATGAAGTCGTGACTCAGCGGAGAGCTTGGAGTCTTCGGAGGTGAAGGGTGAACCCTTGACTTTCAGTGGCCGGCTCCATGCTGTGAAGCCGGCATGGCCGCGCCAGGGCAGCCCTATGGGACTGACAGGTTTTTCATCACCACTTGGCGTGTGGCACTCGCAACTGAGACTTCGCATGAAGGGGAAGAAGAGCTCACGAGAGAGCATCGCAAGGAGATTCTGAGACGGACGGCTCAACAATCCGATAGGATCCTATAGGTAAACCTGCAACAACCAGGGCCTCCAAAATGGCTGGCTGGGGCTGCCTAGCTGGAACTATTGATGTTCCTTTAGCATCGCTTTATAAGCACTGTAGGCCTGATAGGCGGTGAAGCAAAAACACACCCATTGTGGTGGTGTGGACATATGATGAATGCCTGGCTATTGTGTGAAGAGCACACCGATAGGAGCCTTTTTGCTTTGGTCGCTCCTTTTGGAAGTCAACATGCAGCCTCTCCAACAGAGCATGCACCAAGAATCCGTGTGTATAGGCTCAAGCGCAGCTAGAGTCTGCTAGAGGTCTTCATCGTCTTCAGGTGATTTCTCTCAGCAAAGTTGGTCAGTTCTTGACACACCAGCTTAAACACATCATTCTGGCAAGCAAGTTTTGTCCTCCACTGATGTAGGAAGAAGCTGACTCTTAGGGTATCTAGCAAGTTTGTGGCAGCCATGCCTGCCCGTCGTTAGCTGCCAAACGGAAATGTCCACCCACAGCCGTGAGGACTACCCATCCCAAATGCAAATTCTTTTCTTGCGCGTTGGGCACCTCTTTGTCTCCGGCTATCAAGATCACATCGCCGAGGCCTTTGCTACGGAGGGCGGGTATTAACCTGATGCCTGCGCAAGACGACCGATTCCATGTTCGTGTAAACGAGGAGGCATCGGAGGCATGCTTGGATTTCAGGTAAGTCCATTGCAAGAGATTGAAACAGATAAGAGTCTTCTGACTCTAGCCACTTTTTCTGCTTTTGCCGGCTTGTGTCATGCAGCTGTGAGTTTGAAAGAAACACGTCCACCAAGCATCTGGCTTAGCAACCTTCCACAAGGAATGTGTAGCAAGAGCGCTTGCTGTGTGTATAAGCCTGAGCGGCTGATTTGTTGGAGTTGCCAGTTTTCGCGTGATTTCTCTCAGCTAGTTACGGTTGCCGAGTCCTTAAAAGACAATTCATTCTGTCATGTAAGCTGTATCCCTTGCATGCAGCAACCACAGATCAAGGCTAGTTGGATCATGAGGCCTTATGACAGGAAGTTTGAGGCAATGTCTGACGCCTAGCTATGCAATGTCATTGCCCAAATCGTGGCTACCCATTCTCAGCAAGTCAAGTTTCATGGTCAAGAGCAAGTTGAAGAGACCCGGTTCCTGTCGCCACCGTCAGTTCCCACAGAAGGGAAGCCTATATTGCAGAAGGGTTTTGAAGGGGTCGGAATTCACCAATTTTCACCCATGTGGCGTCTGTCTGCAGCTTTAAAACCTGAAGCATGTAACAGGCAAGATTTGGAGACAGGTTCTTCAGCATCCGGTGTCAAACCACGCTCGCTGTTGCGAACCGATTGAGATTCCTGACGATGTCTGAAGCGTTGATCTCTTCATGGAGCATTCTGCTTTTTAGTGCCCTTGTGCCGGCCTGTCACCTTGTCACCAAGCATGAGTTTTCGGACCCGTAGGTTTTGGGGGTGTCATCAGCAACGGTGCTCTGCAGCTGGTTGAGGGGTTGAAGATCAAGGGGGTTGTTGCAAAAAGTTGACGGTTCATTTCAAGGTTGATCAGCTGATTGTTTTGAAACATGTAGGCATTGGATGCGACACGAGGGGGAGTGTAGCACAAAGTCACCACCTGCCTGATGTGCGACAGCTACAGCCGATGCTACTGATGCCACCGAATGCTTTTGCCAGCTCAGGCTTGTGTTGTAGGGAGGTGAGGGTAGGAATCCTGGACGCTGGCGCAGACTTGCAGCTTTGTGGGCTCATGACAGTCGTCAGCCTTCACAGCCGTTGGTTGCTTGAGAAGGCTGAGGCAGCTTTGCGATCGAGAAGGTCTCCATTCTCAACACCAAAGGGACCAAAGTCTCTCAAAAAGCTTGCTACCACACTCCTTAAGCTTTGAGAGGAGGCGGACACTGTGACAGAACAAGCAGCCGGACGACTGTGAGCAGAAGTTGGATTTGTAGTGAACCATTGGTGAAAATATATGACGAAGTTCTTAGTCAAACCATCTCTGTGCCTGATCAGCTTGGCTTGGGAAAGCCGCGCCGTGTTGATCGACTTTTGAAGGATGGTCTTTTACACCTCCTCAGTTTGAAGTGACTGGCCTTTTTTGGGAAGTCATGAAGTCATTGCAGATTTGGCAGCTTTGTGGTGTCAGACGTTGCATAAATCACATTCATAAGGCTTCGGTCCGTCGTCGAAGATTGTCAGAGATCGCGGCTTTGAGATTTGGTCGACCTGGTCACAGTGCCAGGTGTGACACCCCAAGAGCGCCAAGCACTCAGCTTGGTGCGCGCTCAGTCTTCAGGCCGACACCGTTGATGAGCCTCTTGATCCGTGATGCTTGGGCTCCTCACCCGGCCACTTGCAGCGGAAGTGACTGGACGGGAAGGCTTGTGCAAGGTGCAGAGGCTTGAGGTCTTTGATGAAGACTTCGATGCTCAGGGTACATGTGGGGTGGTTTGTCAAAAGATTGTCAAGCAAAGATTGGTGTTTTGCCACACATCCGGCCTTGATAAAGCAACCAGTCAGACATCCATTTGACCAGCTGTCATGTGAGGTAATTCGCAAGGCGTCAGATTTTGTTGTCAGGTCCTTTAGGAATCATGAGGTGGAGAGGGACGAACGTGTGATAGAGATGTGGAGACCGGAGGGGTTAGTTCTTGCAGATAAAGCCCTCCTCCATCCTTTTCCTCACCAGTTTTTCCTCTCAAATGCTTTACGATTCTTGCGGTTTGTTAGGTGACTCGCGACAGGTCCCCTGTTCCCAGACCAAGGGTGTCAAATCTGCAATGAAGATTGCTCCCCTTACCCTTGCATTCTTGAGAATTTTGTGTAAGACAGCCTTTCAGCCTGCTCACTGCAATTCCTTGAGAAGCTTTCCCATCAAAGCAGATATCTTCCAGTCTCAGAAGAGGGTGGAACAGGTGGAGCTGAATGCAGACAGGGCTTGTATCACTTCGCGGGCGCCCATGTTCCATGGCTTGTCGCATGGAGCGCGGTCATGGACGCCTTCGGTGGCTTCTTGCACGAAACCTTTCCGCGGAAACGCTGAATCGACACAGCGCCTCGTCTGAAACTGAGACAAAACGCGTGGCGGTTCGATCCGGCTTTCCACCTCCGCCCAGACCTTTTAGGCGCACCGCCCGCGGTTCGAACTGCAGCTCATCTCACTTCAACTGGGCAGGGTCGAAGCCAAGAGGGGCGACAGCGAGTCCAGCCGAAACTGAGGGCAACAAGAACCTCTCCCAGACAGGAGTGCTCGAAGCTGCATGAAGCAAAGAAGCTGTGTAGCGTGCAGCCACCGATCTGTGGTGTCACATGTGGTGCCCGAGAGATTGGAGTGGATCTACTGCTGACCACGGCGTGGTCTTCCAGGTCTGCTGTTGGGGTCGGAGCGACGGCGCTGTGTGTGCAGACGTCGGTGCCAAGGTGTTCCTTTCGGAGAACGCGTGATGCAGCGATTCCAGCTTACATGTACAACTCGGTGCTCCTTCGGCCTCAAAGAAATGCTTCCGGTTTGGTGTCCACAGAGCTTGCGAACCTCCAAGCGCGGCTTGCTTGTGGCTGTGGCTGCTGCCGGGCAGCCACAGTCGCACAAGTGACGGAACATGCTGGCAGCTGCGGTCGGAGGGAGATAGAACGGTAAGGAGAGGCATCAAGTGCGAAACCAAGGTAGACATGTGGAGATTGCAGCAGTTCGTGCCAAAGGGAGTTGATGCAGACAAAGCCCTCTTCCTGACCACTTCTTCCTCTCTTATCACTGCCGCAGGCTTCTTGAGTCGTGTTGGTGGCTCGCAGCAGTCCCCCCGTTACAAAACCAGAGAAAGCAAGTTGCCAATGAAGATGCTGCAGCTGGCATTCGAAAGAGTTATGGACAAGAACATGTTTCGCCCTGATCGTTCAGCAAATCCCTTACGGGGCATTTCTCATCAAATCAAGTGATGCACGGGCCGAAGCACCATCTCAAGGGCCGGTAGATGTATGCAGTAGATTCCGGCTATGCAAAGAAATGCAGTTGAAGAGCGCCATGGCGTTTTCGAACCAAGTAGGTTTTTTTGACGTGGCGCTGGCCAATGCCTGAAGCCTTCCCTCCAGCTCATGCTGAAGCCTGCCCAACCTTGCTCAAGCAGCAGAGCTGCGTGCCTTGGAGCTTGCTCATCAATTCATGCGAAAATGGTTTGAGGTTAGGGTTTACGGCCAAGGGCTTGTTTCTCAAAAGGAGTGTAGAGCTACAACAAGAGAGGCCCAAAGCTGGACACCAGGAGTCCAAAGGGCATTGGGAGAAGGGAGTGTAGTGTGGACAAGTGCTTAAGGTCGAGCAAGTTCACCTTGCCCAAGGTGGCTAGCCCTTAGATCTCTTTGGTTCTTAGATCCGTTCTGAAGGTGTAGTGTAAGGCAGCCTGACGCTTGCCTTGGTGGACTAGCAGGCACATCAGACACAGATAGATCAATATTGGCCGCAAGATGGTGTAGTCCAGCTGGATCGCGGGGGCCTTTGTGGTAGTCTCGGCTGACAAAGCCTCTCGCTTTGAGTTTTCAAGCACATGCGCTTTGAGTTTTCAATGGGGAAGATCCCAAACCCGTTAAGGTCACTGAAGTCAGTTGCTCGAGATCTCACATTTTCCGGGATCAAAACCAAGTCCCTTGGATGCAGGATGAAGCTGGTGTCAGACCTGAGTTTCCACGCTGGAACCAGATCTGCATCATCCCATGCTTGGACAACTGCGGATGCTCCATTGACTGCACCAGCTTGTTGCGGGCTGGCTGGACTCGTAAGCAGCTTGGACCAGGCCGCAGGACTAAAGACGACCTCCCGCTGATCGCCCAAATCTCATGTGTTCAATGTGAGGCTTGGAGCGCTGAGAAATCGAAGTCCTTGAAACCCATCCATCTCGGCAGATCTGCCTACGTCCCATCTGAAGTCCCATCCCATCGCCTGCCTCGCTTCGGCTTCGACCCAGGTCAACGCCGTGCGTGTCTGCTGCGACCGGATCGAGAGCCTTTGGACGGCGGGATCGGCGACAGCCACTGGGACCTGAGCGGGAGAGTGAAGGCCTCCAGCTCTCGACGGAAGAGCCGAAGAAGGTGCAGGGTGTCTTCTGCGGGATCGATGGTGTATGGGCATGGTTCGAACTCTTGTGTACAAGCTGGGCAGGAATTGCCAGCTTTGCTGCAACAGTTCGTCTCAATATCAGAAGACGAGATTCATCTTAAGAAACCCATCTCGAACGTTTGCTTTGCAATTCAGACCTGGCATCTGAGCAGAGCAGGCCGATTCGTGACTGTTTGATGGAAGAAGTGTGCTTTTTGAGAAGTGCCAAAGAAGTTGTCGACGAAAACCCACGAGGAGAGTGGTTCCTTTTCAAGAGAGCTGCTTTGTTGGAAATGCCTCGTGAACGAGCGGCCTTTGACTGACATCCGTTGGCCCAACGCAGCGGCCCCCCCAACCCACAGCAGGAGCACACACTGCCGTGCAGTTCGCGCGCCTATGGGATGTTCGGCAGATCAGCAGGGTTCCTCGCAGGTTCGTGAGGTTTGGTTGCGACACCGGTCCTTTTGAACTGATTAAGCCACAGGCCTTAGTGAAATCAACCAGAAGCTTAAACCAAAAACCTGCTTAGAAAAGCACCCCCCAAAAGCTGCTTCCTGCTTGTTGTGATGTGTGTTTGGAGATCATTGCCTTAACTTCCAAACATGGAACTTTAATGCACTCATCCATCTCATCCATGTCATCCTGCCGTGCCTACCACTAGAGTGATTTGTTCGGATGCTCAGTCTGGGTCCATTTAGGTCAACCTTCCAGTCTGGGTCTGGGGAGGCCCAACGACTCCAGCGTCCGACTCCAACGACTCCAGGACCTGCCTCCTCCAGACGTCTTCCCATCCGTGGCAGGCGGCCGGCGGGGTCCGGACCTGTTGAGGAAGAAGGATCGGTCGAAGGACCTGCTGCACCGGCACACTTCGGACCCCGGGACTAGGACCATTTCGACGTCCGAAAAAGGTGGGTCCAAACCGGATGAAATCCAGACTTCTCTGACCAAAAACGGTTTCGGGACCCGGACGTGTTCCGGCGGCCGGTCCACCTGGCGGACGTTTGCGGCAGACGAGCCCGTGGTGTTGTGAGTTGGGGGGGCGGGGGCGGAGGTGTTGGTTTGTGTCGGAGGCTAAGTGTTTGGTTTTACTTAGTTACTTGGTGCTTTCTCGTTCGAGGCTAAAGTCTTGTAGACTTTTGTAAGAGAAGATGATTGTTGGGATGCGACCATGAAAGTGCCCATATGGATGTGGGACCGGGGAAAAAGTAGGAATGGCATTGGTGAAGCTGACATAAGCTGACCACCAGTCCGCTCATTGGGATGCGTGAGGGTTGGAAGAAAGCGTTTGGGGAGTATGTGTATCATCACTGAGCACCCTGAGGATGCCCTCACCCAAAATACGCAGCAATGGCCCACTTATCCCATGGTCCTGCAGCCCGAAACTCGGGCCGCCCGATTCACGGCAGAACCCCAAGGGTCTGAGGGTGTGAAGGCTGTCTGCAGGAGGCCCAGCCCGATCCAAATGTATACTGTCCCATGGTCCTACCATGTCCTACCCATGCAGGCATTGCGGCATCACGCGCGTCTGGTATTTGACGACACCGGTTTACCGATTGACACCGGTTTACACCGGTTTACCGACTGCGCGCAGCATAGGAGAGGTCCATGGCAACAAGGGTTCGGCCCGTCCAAGGTCCAAGATCAATTAGTTTTGCTTTTACTCTGGTCGTCTAGTATTGTGTCAAGGCCCATGTTCACATCCCACTTCCACCCCCATGTCCATTCAAGCCAATGGTTCCTCAAGATCGTCTTTTTGCAACGGTCGTTGTTCTTGCAACGTCGGTCTGTAGATGTTTGTAGTCTTTTGAAGGGTTGTCGGCCATTACGCCGTATAACAAAGACAAACGACACTCAGAGATACTTATATATAGCTAAAGCTGTTGTACACAGATGAGAAACGATGCCCTCTTGATGGCAGCCTTCCCAGAACATCACATGATTTCGCTTTTGACGACATGATAGAACGACTACACACCGCAAATCGTAAACATCTCTAAACCCAGCAAACCTGTAAACCCGCGTAAACCCGTAAACACGCGTCAACCCGCGTCAACCCGCGTAAACCCGCGTAAACCCGCGTAAACCCGCGTAAACCCGTAAACCCACATAAGCCCGCGTAAACACGCGTCATCAAATTCAGACACATTTCCCGCTGCACTGTGTCGCTCATATGGGAACTTCTTGGCCCACATATAAAAAGACATAGTATGTATTGAAGTTCCGTTTTTGGAGCAATGGTGACACTTCGTTGACAAATGTATATATCTTAGTATAGAGATATTATATATATATATACACATATCTCCATCACCCTTTTCCCCGACTGAACGTTGCCGATGTTCCCAGGCTCCCCAAGCTGCTGAGGTGATATACGGCCTGACCAGAGCGGCATCGGATTCAATTTCACGTCGATTTGCGAGAAAAAACATGGTGATTTGCGGTCATGGCTGGTCTCACAAAGAGGGCTCCTGAAATGCTTTTTGTCCGGTGAGGTCCCCAAAACAACCGTGGCCGCCACGGAGGGGCTTTGGCTCAAAAGAGGCTGCCAGGTGCGGCGCCAAGTTGATTCTGTTTGGGGTGCTTGCCTCTCGCTGCTGACATTTGCCGCAACCGTTGCTGCTGACTACAGGTTGACTGCTGCGTGTGCTGGCTGCCATTCACAATGCTAGGCCTTTTTCTGCTTGAGATGAGACGACTCAGTCAGCGTCAGATCTATTTTTTCTGTGCAGTGTCCGCTTGTTTTTCCTATCCTTTTTGTTTGGGCACACATGTGCAACCCTGATTTCTCTTGGCGTTGATGTGTGCTGTGTGTTTCCTTTGAGTCCGTGTCACGTTCTCATTTGGAGTGCCAGTCATGAGTCATGGCATGGCGTGTTGCTCCAGCCATGGCGGGTCCAGTGCGCCATGTCCAAACTTCCTTGGGTGTCGACAGCTGGTCGTCCAAATCTTCACAACCACTGGGGGTTGTGTTCGACCTGCTGCCATGGCATGGCGATGCAACTTGATGCAACAAGTGCCTCCCGCCGCCTACAAACCTTTCCCCTCGACACTGCTCAAAGTGGCACCATGTGTTTCATTGAAACGTAAAAGGTCGGCGCAAGGTTCGCCCAAGGTCGGTGCAGGGATATTCAATCACAAAACGAAAAACCATTCAATCAGTATCTACATTTTAGCGCAAGAAACATGCCAAGTTTGCCCAAAACTGGCGCAAGAATGGTTTCTGGATGGGCGTCCAGCAGTGTGACCGCTTCCTGTGCTGATGGCTACCGTAACCCTGCCTGTGTTTCACATACATTTTTTTAAATCCGTTCAGACTTCCAGTACAGAATGGGTAGGGTCAAGGTCCAAAAATATGACATGTGAAAGAGACGGGACATACACCGAGTCATGCAGAGTCATGTGCATAAGGATTTGTGCAGTTCACTCATTGTATAGGGGCAGAGAGGTTTTAGTGATGCACGACGTAGAACACTTTTGTGGCAAGCAACTCATTCTGTAGTCAAAATCGACACATATCCAAACCGTGTAGTGTAAAGTGTGGCGACACCAGGCTCACATCTCATCTAAAATCTAATCAGTCAGGACAAACTGTTGGACACACGCTTTCATTCGAGCCCTGCCATGGGTGGTTTGTGTGGAGCATGCGCAGCATGAAGGGACCTCGGTGGTATGCTGATTGGTGTTTGGTTCAAGTTGAGATGCATTGGCAGTCCGGCAGCCCAATAGAAAGACGGCAACTTTTGAGTCGGTTTTTGTTCTCCAGATCAGTCGGTGTTGTTCATCCTTTTAGGAGTGGTCCCAACCATGTGCAAAATACTGATATATGACATATGGCTTCAGACGTGTTTATGACTCATGACTTCAAGAAGTAGATGGCGCAAACCATATACAGATACAGCTTTGGGGGTCTATGTATATAGTCTCCATGCACAGTGGTTGGTTTGAGGACAGCGTCATGTTCCAGTTTCAAACACGAGGGCTTTTTTGGCGCGTTGCTCCAGCCATGGCGCCGTCCGGCGATGGAGAAGGGGTGTGGTGCAACGCTCACCATGCCCAAGGTCCATCCGTAATTTGGTGTCCGCGGCTGGTCGTCCAAATCTTGGAACGTCATTTGTGCATCACAGCTGGAATTTGAAAACGTTGACTTCGACCTGCTATGGTGATGCACAGTGCCGAGTCGCGGGCTGACCGCGGCCCCAAGTGTACACCACAACAAAGTTATCCTTCTCAAAAGCTTCAGGGTATAAGCCCTTTCCATCCAGAATCACAAATCTTCGACTAAGATCGACTAAGCGACCCATGTGGTGCTTCTTTGCGCCGTCAATGTCCTTCCCGACTCAATGCCACTTGAATGTTGGCACATTTTCAAGGAAGGGGGGCCTGTCAACTCGATCCTTGGCTGGCTGCTCGACTGCCATTGCTTGCGGTATATGACAAAGTAGTACAAAAGAATCATCATCCTGATCCTCCTGCGCGGCCGTTTGGCATGCTTTTGTCAACAAACTTGTGGTAGAATTCGGATCCATTTGGAGATGTTCCGGACGACCGGGTCTTCCTTTACGACCCATGCGTTTTCGACGACATGCCAGGGCCATGCCACGTGTCCGCCCATGTGAGGTACACCATGGTTGATGGACACTACTATCACTATCGTTTCCCCCCACATCGTTACGTCCAGTCTGTCATTGTTTGCACGGAACAACCTGTCTTCCATGGGAACGCGGCCCGTCAGAAGCACCAGAAACATGTGGTTTCTTCTTTGGTGCTCTTGAATATGCAGACCGCGGACCTCTATTTAAGCTGATGTAGTGGACGGACAGGTGTAAGGAAAACTGCGTTCTTTCTAGTCGAGGCTTTTGCCACCATGGGCATTTCCCACCTTGTGATGGAGGAAACAGGCGCCCACCATGTTTCCCAAAGCCGACCAGTCCAGCCGTAGTGGCCAGGTGCCCAGTGGTCACGGTCTCGAAACGTCCTTTCACCGCAGCCACGGTCACGTCTCGTCCAGCAATCTGCGGCCAGACTTCCGTTGTTTGTTCCACGTTCTAGGCGCAGGCTAGTACTAGATACAATGGTCCAACTGTCCCAGGACAAAAACCACTCAAACCAGGGAATTCTATATGTCCTCCTCACCGCCCGATTCGGGTGGGAAACACCGAAGACGGGTGGGAGCTCCGTCGTCTCTCCCGATGCGCCGT